TCCAGGCCAGGGGCTGGGCTGCCCTTCCCCCAGCTGCTCTTCCACATACATCCAGACATTTTGGCTATGCTGGTCCTTTTTGCCTCTTTTACTCTTCTGGGCTCTTGGTCTCCTAGCTCTCCTTTCTCCCCTACCTCTCCTCATGTGGCCCCAGGTCAAGGTCACGTTCACTCTGGACTCTCCCAGAAGTCTCTGTCTCTGATTGTATTCTCCCTTTTATCTACAATAAACTTTTTCTTTTACCATACCTAGGAGCAGTCATGTCTTCTTTCCTCTTCCCTTCCCTTCCTCCCTTCCTCCCTCCCTCCCCTCTCTTCCCTCCCTCCCTTCCTTTCTTTCCTTTTCCATTCAGAGTTGATTCCTTCGGCCCACATGTTGGAATGAATGATGTATTTTCATTCTGGGTCAAAGAGATCAAAGGAAAAAGGCCCAGGTTCTTCTGTTCCTTCCTACACATGCATGTTTAAGGCATCAGTTGAACCTGCTGGTCATACAGGGGGACTGTACCTAGTCCTCGTGATGGAGAGAGACAAGCCACAACAGACTCTTCAGGACAGTGACACACTTGACATCTTGTCTCTACTCTGCCCTTTGAGTATGATTATTTAGGTCACTGGAGATGTAATTTTAACAATCAACTTGAAAGAGCCTATTGCATCATGGCAATAATCTTTGTGTTTTCCATGATAGACTTAAAAAAAAATCTTTTCAGAAAGTGCACTCTTTTTCAATGACTGCCCAAGGGGCTTTCAGCATGTGGGTGGAGGCCAAGATTTATATTCTTGGCTAGGAGTAGTCAGGGCAGGTGCTGCGCTGAGGAAGGGCAGCTGTGACCCACCATTACTCCTTGTATCAGGAGAGGGTTGCTGACCCCTCAGGACTAGAGATAAACATCTGATGAAGATCTGGCTCAAAGGATAAGAAAATGGTCAGGCAATGTCTTTGGGAAAACTTTAAAAGCAAGAGCCGGGTCAGGAATGCAGCTCAACAGTCCCTTGGTTATGGGAACGATTGACTTGACAGTACAAGAGATCAGTACTCCCCCAGGAGTCTTGTACTGGAGGGGTTGGGGGTGGAGTGGGGGCAACACAGAAGAGCTGGAGGCTGGTGACAGAGGAGGAACTGGCTTCCCAGGAAGAAAGCCCACACAGTTCTGTAATCATTACAGGGGAGACTGGAGCCCTGACAATGATGGGCAGGACAGCACATTGACCCAGTTGCTTAGTTACGCTTACCTCTGGTCCTCGGTTTTAACCTAAAACTCACGATGAGCATAGGCTTCCTCATCCCAGTGTTGCCACACTGGGAAAAAAAAAAAAAACCAAAACCAAAACCAAAACCAAACCACACCTCTCTCTGCTTTTCATTGTTACCCGCATCTTTTAGTTGGTGTATTGAGGATGGATGGCCAAGCCTGGTTTGTTAGGGCTATCGGGCTTTGATCCTAAACATTTTGGCAACACTCTGATCCTGCTCATCTCTTTCTCCTGTTGAGAATAAGGATGTAAAGGTGGTTGTGTTGGCAGTAGCCATATTGCCGCCCCCAGGCAACCTTAAGGATGGAAGCCAAGAGCTGAGCATGATGTGGTAGATTGAAAACGCTCTCCAGATCTGCACTGCCTCCTTGGCTATGATCACTTTCATGACAGAGGAGAAGAAATCTCTATTTGCTTAGCGCTCATTTTTCTTCATCATTTGTAGGCAAGCACAGCTCCTGATAGAAGCACACACTGTGTATGAGGGCTCAACTCCAGGGGAACGGAAGAACGGTGACTTAGTACTGACCCCAGCTGCCTCAGAGGGATCGCAGCTCCAGATTGCAGCTAAAGACAACTGGGCAGAGGGAAAGATCCAAACCAAACGACCAGGCTTGCTGTTGTGCCCTGGAGCACAGCAATGGTGGTGGGCAGCTATTTTAGAGAAAACTATTCTCGAGGCAGTGTCAGGTCTGGGTCAAACAGGGATGGAAACGGCAGTCTGGAGAACAGTTCAGGAGGCTTAGCTGTACGGCAGCTAAGGGTCTGCTCTCATGATTATAATGGCTTGCCTTTCAGAGCCAATGGGCCCTCAGCTGGCTAGAACACCAGAAAGCGCTCACTGCCGTCTCCCCTAATAACCAAGTTTAATTTGACACTAAATCACAATTCCAGACACTCAGCTTTTCTCACAGTCCCTATTGCAGAGGAAAACCAAGCCAGAACATCAATAAACATAATGATCCAATTAAGGGTCTATCCAGTTGGGAATTAGAGCTGCAGGTTTAACAGGACCGCGAGGGAGGGCAGAGCAATCCAGTATTCATCAGCTCAAAAAGTCAAGGCTTTTATGGTAAGACAATTGTTTGGGGTAATTCTAAAACAAATGTTCAGCCAATATGAACAGCTTCGATGTAATGCTTTTAATCACTAAAAATCCTGTCTAGACACGAGGCATCACTCCTTGTGCATACATTTACTTATATTTTGATATTAAATATAAGTACCTCTCAATGTTCAGAGTATCCATATAAAATCTATTTCTACTCATATCTTTATTACATTTAAGGATCACTTATAAGCCAGGAATTACAAAATAGGAAGATGGGCAAATAAAATATCTACATCCAAGTTTGAGGCCAGCCTGGTCTACAAGAGTTAGTTCCAGGACAGCTAGGGCTGTGGTGGCGACATTTCTACCCAAAGCAATCTACAGTTCAGTTCAATCCTACTCAAAAGCCCCAGGGCAACCTTCACAGAAAGAGAGAAAAGCATGCTCAAATTTATATGGGACAACAACAAAAAAGGACCCCAAAGCAGTCAGAATGGCAGATCACCAGAACCACTGCCTGCAGATGCTGGTAAGGAGGTGGGAAAAAGGGCCACTCATTCGCTGTTGGTGCGACTGCAAACGGGGGCAGCTACTCTGGAAATCAGTGTGGAGAACTCTCAAAAAGCTGAAAATAAACCTACTACATAACCCAACAACACCACTTCTTGGCAAATACCCACAGGCTTCTACCTCCCACTCCATGGATTCTCGATCAGCCATTTCATACAGCTTTTATTCACAATAGCCATGAAATGGAAACAACCTAAATGTCCTCCAGCCAATGAATGGATAATGAGAACATTGTACACATTTACAATGAAATATTACTCGATGTAGAGAAAAATGAAAGAACAAATTTTGCAGGTAAATGGATGGAGCTAGAAAATATTACACTGAGTGATGTAACCCAGACCCAGAAAGACAAACGTCACATGTTCTTTCTTATCTGTGGTTCCTAGCTCCAAATCTTCAGATGTCAATGTATAATCTGGAGTAACTGCAGAAGCCAGGAGAGAGGGGCTAGCAGGACACCGGTGATATGAAGGGGAAAATGGGGAAAACAGGGGAGGGGTCTATAGCTGGGGTGGGGGTATCAATACAGGAGAGGGAGGGAGGAGGGATAAACAACACTCAGGATGTTTGAGAAGGACACAAGGATTTTTTGGTTTTTTACTTGTGTTTTCGAGGCAGGGTTTCTCTGTGTAGCCTTGGCTGTCCTAGAACTCACTCTGTAGACCAGACTGGCCTTGAACTCACAGAGATTTGGGGAATTATTATTTTAAACTTATACATATAAGCATATGAGCATACATAAATATAAATACACAGACAATATAAATGCAGTTACACCACTTTGGGCTAGCTATAATACTCTACCCAAGAACTATATAGTCTATCTAAAAACATTCTAGTACCAGGCATGGGAAACTTCCTTTTGAGTTACTAGGCAGGGGAGTTCAAAGGCTCCTAAAACACTATAAACTAATGCTATTGCCTCTGGTTGCCTCCCAGAAGCTAAAGGTAAATCCTATTGCCGGAGACATTACACATTTGGACATAGGACCCAGCGGATCTGAGATCAAATTGACCTGAGCACCTCCTCCCAGAAACCAGCTTTCTTTCTTTGTTTTTTATTAAACATAAACAAGACAATTTATATATTCCCAATATACAAATGTCCCAATATTTCAATTCCAAGAGGAAGGAGTGGGAACTAGAAACCACTGTGAAGGCCGCTGAGGGGTATAAGCAATCAACAGCCCCACCCAGCTTTGACACCTGTGAACCACGGCAATGACCAGTGTGACAAGAGAACCCTAAAGGTGCCAGAGTGGCACTTAATCTTAGCAGTAGCCAACAGCTGTCTCATTGGACTCAAGGCCTACTGAACAGGACAAATACCTGTGGCTCGGGAGATGGTGGATCTTAGAGGAGAATCTACAAAATGCCCCATTCCTAAATTAGTGCAATTCCTAACTGACTCTAAATCCTTAGTTTTACACACACAGTTAAGTGTAGATCTGACCCTAACCAAAGGAGATTCTTTTTGCAGCTGGAGACTATTTCAGAAGGTACAACTCGTCAAAAATGCAGAGAATGATGAACTCAATTAATAAATACATCTACTACACAACTCCTGTGTCTACAGCCCAGGGATCATCATGGACATGGGGTAGAGAGATTCTGAGAGCCAGAAGAGCAGGCAGTTTGCTGGGAGGCTGTGCCTTCTAGTTATGGCAGGAAAGCTGCACCCATGAAACCTCAACCACATGGCTGCCTCTCAAGACCTGAACAGTTCCATCAGCAGTTGACACCCCAACATAGACGAGGGAAATCTCACATATCCCCTTCACCCCTAGATAGGGAGCCACATGCAATTAACAACTGCTAAGAGAGGGAGAATTAGTCTTCCCCAGGGAGGAGCCACCCCCCCACCCCGTGGTTGGTTATCCAATACTGAGTCGTCAGCCCTAAAAACTCACACACGCAGCAACACCGCATGGACTGAGCAGGCTCTATTTATGTTTCTTGTCTATATGCATATGTAACGATGGTTAAAGAGGAGGTTATGAATTTGGAAGGGGCTTGTGGGTACATGGGAGGGGAGGGGGTGAACAGCAAGCAGGAAAACGATGAAGCTATACTTTAAAAATTTAAAGGACAACTTAGAAAGACATTCAAAGAATACTTACTGCTGGTGGAGGACAGATGGCTGTAGTCGGACCTGAAACATAAGATGTAGGGGGGCTTAGATATCATTTTTCTTTAATCCAAATGAACCGCTTGATCTAAGAGCCCCGTTAGTGGTGATGTGGTAGCTAGTAGCATTTGCCTGCGCAAGCTGTCATTGGCGAAAACGGTGTTGAGGCTTCTTTGGTGCAAATAAGTGCTATGTCTGAATTCTGAAAGCAACACTGGGGCCTTCACACGGGCTCCATGAGTCACCCTATGAGGGTCTCGGGCCTCTGAATTTGCGGGAAAGTTTTGGAATGTTTGTTTATTTTTCTGGTGAGAAAGTCTCCAAGTCTTCAACAGATTCACAAGTCCCTGGGGTTACATTCTCACTAAGGAGCACTTTGCCAGGGTTCACACAGCACCACTGGATGCCTCTTTGATGACTGTGATGGAAGGGACCCTGAGGAAGGAGGACAGCATTGGGCTGGGAAGTAGGGGTGTGTCCACACTTCAGGACTGGCTAACCAGCAGGGACCTTCAGCACAGGGCACTCCAGTGGATTTCCTTTCCTGATCCTGCTAGATAGGAGAGAAGTGATCCATATGGGTTTTATCCTGAGGACTCAGTGGCTGGCAGTCAGTCACTACGAGAATGGGAATCCCGCCAAGTTCCTGCCCCATGGGCAGGGCTGTCGAGGCTTTCCTCTTTGGCAAGGAATTTGGTATAGAAGTTGTTTATTCTCTTGCACCCCAAAGTCATTTTCAGTAGGAAATTAATGCCTTAGGGAGGCAGGGATTCACAGTGCCTGGCAGTTAGCAGAGGTAGTTAGGCAAATAAACCTCCACATTAGGTTTAATTTTATAGGTATATACTCCCTTTATCACCTTAGTCTCCAGTTGCCTTTCTTGAATGATCCAATTTCCACTCCATTTACAGCATTTAAGAAGTGCATATAAAACCTTTTAAAAATTGCCTTTTATGTGTTAAAATTACTACACTGCTCAGACCATGATGCCCTGACTTATTGGGAAGGAATAAAATGAAAGGCAATGGACATCGTTTTTCTCTTTTTTAAATGAAATATTTTAGTAATCACAGTCATTGTTGTTTCAAACTGGAAAGAATAAAATCGGCAAAAGGGATTTGCATATCTTTATAAACTGCACCCCAGCGCACCAAATTCAACTTTACCGTTGTCGTTCTAGTCACGAGGACAAAATGCCTGACAAGCACAACTTAAGGAAGGGAGGAAGGGTCTGTCTGAGCGGGAGAGAGTGTGAGGCAACTGGTCAACCTGTGTGCAGGCAGGAAGTAGAGACTGATGGATGCTGGTGCTCAGCTCACTTCCGCTTTCTCTTTCCATTCAGTCCAGGACCTCAGCCTGTGGGATTGTGCCACCCACATTCAAGATGGGTCTTCCCTGCTCAAGAGAGCCTCTCTGGTAGCATCTTCACTGAGATGTCCAGAGTTGTGTCTCTAAGGTGATTCTAAGTCTAGTCAATTGATCTGGTCGGTGGAAAGCAGAAGTGGGACTTTCTGTATGGAGCCCAGGAAGTGAGGAACGACAGGGTGTGGACTCACTGGGCAGAGTGGATGGGTAATGAGCAAGCTAAGAAGTAGGACGAGCTGGGCTGAGGCACAGTGCCATCTTGGCCGAGGGAGGTGAAAGCATCAAGGATTGGTAACATACTGAAACCCAGGATTTCCACACCCAACCTTGGCACCTTAAATTCCTTCTGGAGTCAGACAGAGCGGAAACAACACACGAGGACGACACTGAGAAATCTAGCTCTATAAAATACCGTGAATGATCAGCAAGCATCCACTATACCAGATTAATAGTAAAGACCTTCCAACACATGGCGACCATGGCCAGACTTAGCAGAAATTGCACAGTTATCCATGTCTGCCCATCTGACATGGAGAGTGTAATATTACTATGTCTCCTATAGAAAGAATGCGCTACTCTTTCCAGCCAGGGTTTGCCAAAGATGAGATTCACACTGGCAGGCATTGTACAGATCTGTGCACAGATGGATATGAACATAGACTGAAAATTACACTGAAACCATAATTCAAGAATCTTAAAGTGTATTTGGTAGTATTTTAGGATAAGTGCTAACAGAAAGGACACTCCTCCATGAGGTCCCCCTAAATCTCTCAAGGTTTTCATGGCAATGTTGGGGTTAGGCTTGCCAATTGGCCAGTCTCTGGCAGACTTGTGAACCCCAACTCCTTCACAAAGCGGCCAATTTGCACAGCACCAATCTCATCATGTCTGACTTTCAAGGATATTCATGCTCACTAATTAAAACACAGACCTCCATGCAGGGTGGTCTCTGCCCAGTTCTGTGGTTTTCATCCCATTAAAACACATCAAACAGAAGCGGCATCTAAGATTTTGCCTTGCTCTCCAATTTTCTGGTTCTAAGTTTATGTAATCTGCATCTCAACACAATGATAAAGATAACGGCTCTGAACTGCTCTTTTTAGTTTAAACCATTTGAGCTTGCTGCTTGGCAGCTCCTGTAGTTACCACTGTGGATAAATTCAGATGCACTGCAATTTATTCAACCCCTTCTCTTTGGGAATGACTACGTGATTGCTCTTGGTTCATGTTTACAAGGTACAGGGTGATGGGATATTTATGAATAAAATTTTATATTTATTTATGTCCTGTCCTTAGAAAAACGACCATGTTTGGAAATACAGGCCAAGTGAAGGGTATGCCCACTTCTGCGGCTCATAGTCTAAATAAGCTGATTTAGTGGCATCGCCAGTGAGAGGCAAGCTGTAAAGCTTAAGACAACTTCATGAATAAGCAGGTTAAAATAATTTCAGAAAAACAGCCAGGTATTTGACCAGACTGCTCTGAAGAACTTGGTGTTCCTTAAACTTATTCAGGGTGGGTAGAGACAGCTTGAGATTTCAGTTTATTGGCCTCGGATCACAAAGTGTTCCCCTGCTATCTCTGCACATAGCATGCAAGGTAAACAGGAATTCTTGGATATCAAATTCTTGAACCTATACAGTAGATGGCATATAATAACACAAGGATTATTCTCTCACCTGATACACACACGCACGTGCACACACGTGCACACACATACACACATATAAAATTTCCAAATTTTAATATTTGTATGTTATTTGCTGCATTAGGATTATATGGGAAGGTATTCTGTAATTAAGAATTACAGAATTGCTGCTGGAGGTCTCACTAGGCAACTTACATATATATTCATTTTATAAAAGGAATATCTTTCTAGATTCTCTTTTCCAGGAAACTATGGCCTAAGAACGGAGCTTGACCTTTCTGTAAAACTGACCTTCCTGTTATTGCAAACCCAGGGCTCCCTGTGTCATGGACTTTCCCTGCTGATTCTCAGTACACCACATTGAAGGTCATGGTAACAGAGCTCACTAGCCTTGGACACAAACTTCATACAGGGCTACAAAGTCATTTGTCTTCTGTATAAGATTTCCTTTAAAAAATGCTGGCCCATTTAAAATGTTTTTGTACCTATTCTTTCCCATCCACCTGTTTCACTTCTCAGTGCCTGCCTCTTCTCATAGGCTGCAGTGAAGCACTGGGTGTAGTTCCCTGATAGGTGTGACATTGTCCTGAGCCGGAAGGTCAGTGACAGCTGGCACACAGGTAGAATTCCACTGATGTCAGGCCAAACTACCGAAGGAAAACAATTCACTAAGTATGGTTGCACGTGAAAGAGCAGTGTGGAGGCCATGTGCTGGAGATTCACTGATGAAATTGTCATTGCTGGCACTGGCTTTTATTTGTATTTTCAAGAACTGCCTGTCCCTCTGTTAAGAAATTCTGTGTCATAAGCTACTTTGCCAAAAGTGGCTTTTGCTAGTTTCTTCTAACAGCACACAGAAGCGCAGGCTCATTGCCCAGTGGAGGTTCCAAATGACATCAATTGCCACAGAACACTGAGTCTGCCTTTAGTCTTGGCCCAGGTTAGGTGTAGGTAGGTTGGAAAAGGCAGCATTTCCCCTGAGAGAAAACAAGGACTAATTCTAGATGAAATGGTTCCTCGAGAATGGTTGCTAGGTGGGAAGCATGCAGAAGCTTGGGGTTGCAGACCAATAAGCCATACACCCATTGACTTGCTACAACCTATACGTGAAATAATAATACCAAGGCATGGGCTGGGTGTTCTGAATGATGATGACCGGCCTCCTTAAGGTGTCTAAAAGCATCTGTGTGTCTATTGTATTGGGTATAAAGAATATATGGAGCTTGGTATGGGCTGAAGCAGGGGTATTCTAACTTGGATGCCTTTCTACTCCTCATTTTTTTCTGGATAACTTTCTAGACATATGGCTTGGCCCTTTCCTCACCTTCTACTCCTTTCTAGAGACAATCTCATCTGACTTCACACCGCCACTCCACTCTCAAAGCCTCACTTTGGTATCTCCATTAATTAATACAAGGGCACTCCACAGTCCTTATCTTAATGAGATTTTCAGTCAGACATTATTGACCTTGGTTTCTCAACAACTTAACCTTCTCTCAGCTTCCAGGACAGCCTGTTCCTCCTTCTGGGGCTTCGCCATCAGTTTCCCTGTCTTTGCCTGACACTTCAACACAATGGCTTCTCAAGCTAGGGTTAAGGACAGCAGGCTGTACTGAGCTGGCTAAGGACTCAGTGAGTCAATAAGGCATGCGGAGAGGGTTAGAACTGCAGGCAGCACTCGGTGGATGCTGGGTAAACGTTCACTGCAACATCAGTTGAGTTCACCTCTCCCAGGGCTTCAAGGGCAGTTCCAAAGATACTGTCATGTTAGATCTCCACTCTGAACTCCGAATACACCCGGTGTCTGATGGCCCATCTTAATGTTTCTTCAGACTGCCTCTGCTGACACCGAAACATCCCCTATTCTCCCCCAACTTGGGTTAGAAGGGATCATGGGCTACTTTGAGAATTCAATTCAATTTTTGTTTCTTCTCACAAAACTTTACTGCATTTTGTATATGTCTCAAAGCCAGTTATGGACCCCAAGTTAAAGACTGATGTCCTAGTGGATATGTCATTTGAGCCGGATTGAGAGAGAGAGAGAGAAAGAGAGAGAGAGAGTAGAATTTCACCTATTAGATAGGCATGCCAGGCAGAAAAGGTAGAGTTGTAGAAAGGATAGGTGGCAGAAGAGAGGCATCAGAAAAACAGGCCAGGATGGCCAGGTCAAAGAGCAAAGAAAGACCTGAGGACAACTGCTCAGCATGAGAGGAACTCGCAGTCCAAGATCATGTTCAGTTTTTGCCCTCGATAGACAAAAGAGCTATACACATTTGAATGGAGAGGGACACAATTAACGAAATCCTGACAAAGAGTAAATTCCTATAATCCCAGCACTTGGGAAGGCAGGCAGGAAGGTCAGGGCTTAAGGTTGTCATTGACTACTTAGTGATTTCAAATCCAACCTGGACTACAGGAGACCCTGCTTCCAATAACAACAACAACAACAAGCAGCAAACATTTTGAGTTCTGGGTGCTTTATACTTGGCTAGACTAGAAAGGGAAAACACCAGAAAAAATGAGTCAACTATTAACAGCACATTTGATAGCCAAACTAAAAATTCAAAGCATACAGGGGTAGATTAGCAAATACAAGGCTAGGGGACATGAAACTTCTGTTTCAAATAATATCATTTTACATTTTAATTTAAGTTTGCTAGTGATGTAATAAGAATTCTTTAAACAGCTTTCTGTCCTGTTACAGCAACACTCTTTAGTGGCCAAGTAGAAAATAGAAACTTGGGAGTCTCCACACTAACCAACCCTTCCCAGGAGCCCATGATGGTTCTCTGGCTAGCCTGCATCCCAGGGTGAAGACACCCCTCAAAATCAATGCTTATCCCCTCTTCTCCATGGCTAGGCCCTTCTGGCAAGCATCTGCTTTAGGAGAGCCCTGCGAGTTAAACGTTAGTGGGACAGTGACTGCTTCACTCTAGAAACAGAAGAGCTGGCAACTTTTGCTTTGTTTCTTCTATACATGGTCCAGCTAATGGGGGAGGAGAGAGGAACCAAGCATGGTCAACCAAGTGACATAGTGAAAGGATTCTTGTCTATTGTGCACGAGGCCACAATAATCAGGAAAGAAACTAAACTGGCAAGTTTCACACAAACAAAATTGAAGCAAAAACGAGGGTGGGGGCTTCAAATCAAGTTACTCCTCCACCATGGACAACACAGTTGGGTAACAGGGAAAGACCGCTGTAGGGAAGAAGGCAGTCCAGATTTACGGTAGGGGTGACAGAGGAGGCTGCAAGGAAGGGTGGGGGTTGGAGGCAGGAATAGTTTGAGGGATGCTTTCTTGGGTTAGGGCAGAACCGAGGTCCATTCTGGGACAGGCCTCTCTCTGTGTTCTCAGCAGATTGCCAAATCCTAAAATTAGCTTGAACCCTCTCCACCTTCCAGGAATTCCAAGGTCTTCTGTAGTCTGGGTAGCCCCTGACCCCTAGCAGAATTTCGCTAGATCGGAGAAGACACTCCTTCCTACCGGGCATCCTGGATGTAGCGCTGACTGTGCATAGGGAAATCCTCTAGATAGAGGCCGGGTGGAAACCATTAGGGGACATTCGTTTCTGAAAACGTCTTCTTTTGTCCTACACAAGAAAACTGCTGTTGGGAGAGGGCTAATTAGCCTCCAAAGGTTTGAGCTAATTACTTGAGTCCTTTGAAGCATACAAGACCCCCATCACACCATCCTGCGAGTACCCAAGGCTGGCGGGGTGGAGAGGCTCAGTAACACAGTGTAAGTGAACTATGCAGTCCTCTTAGTTGGTTTCGGAGTCTTTTCCGTGCCCGGCTTCCCACCCTTTCCACCTGCTTTCCTCGTGTCTAGGGCCAGACTCCCTGGGGCTCTCGAGCTACCAGAGTTCCCCAGCTTGTGGGAACAAGTGCAGGCGCATCTCTATCTGACAGCGAATACTGGCTGAGCCTGGCACCAAAGGCCACAGGGCTGCGAGGGGTGACGCCGAGCCTCGAGTCCCACCACCTTCCAGTCCCAGGTAGGGCCCTTCCCGCCCCTCCCCGTTCTGCCCCAGGCAGCCAGGGACCACGCCGCTGGCCCGCAAGACACTGAGTCCCAGCCCCGATACTGCCACAGTGGCTCGGGTTCCCGAGCGCTAGTCCTCAGCGCCCGCCCCGCCTGATCCGGCTCACCCTCCGGTCTCGGCGCCCGAATCCACGCAGTCCTCCTCCTCATCGCCCGCCTTCGGGTTCATGGCGCGCGTGCCCGCCGCTCTCCCTCCGCCCCGGGTCGCTCCAAGCACCTCGTACCCGGGCCCGGCAACGACCCGGCCCCGCGTGCC